CCAGAGTTAATGCCCTTTCATGGTACAGCCCCAGGAGCTCCTGCCTCTTCTCCTCTGGGATGTACCTGGAGAAGAGCAGGTCCCACACAGAGACCTGCCTCCCCTGGAACTCATCCACTGACACCTCCACTGTGGGAGACTTCAGGGTCTCTTCCCAGGTCCTGTCCTCCTGCCGGTGGCTGTGCTCAGCTTCTGCAACTGCTGACTCTGCTCTTGAACTACTTGCATTTCCTGATTGCTCTGTCCTTGCTGCTTCTGTCTTGGTGACAATGGTGGTGACAACGGTTTTCACCTGCTCGAGGGTTAACTCTCCTGCCTGGTACAGCTCCAGCAGCTCCTTTCTGTTCTCCTCCGGGATGTACTTGGAGTGGAGCAGGTCCCACACTGAGACCTTGTGGCCCTGAAACTCCCCAACCTCCATGTCGACGACTGTGGTTTTCAGGGCTGTTTCCCATGGCTCTTCCTTGGGGGAGTCATCATCCTTCTCTCCTGCCACTGGCATAGTGTCCTTGTTGGAAGTCTTGACTGCAATTTGGAATTTCCTGCCTGTAGATTCTTTTTTCTTAATGACAGCGGTGACAACAGTTATCATCTGCTCCAGAGTTAATGCCCTTTCATGGTACAGCTCCAGGAGCTCCTGCCTTTTCTCCTCAGGGATGTAGCTGGAGAAGAGCAGGTCCCACACAGAGGCCTGCCTCCCCTGCAGCTCACCAGCTGGCACATCAATGGTGGTGGACTTCAAGATGTTATCTAGTTGTGCATCTTGTGTTGAAAAATCATCTCCGTTTTCCTCTGCCCTTGTCACCACCTCGTGTGGACTTCTGGCATTTGCATCTTCTGTTCTGTTGATGATGGTGGTGACCACAGCAGCCACCTGCTCTGTGGTCAGAATCCCTGCTCGGTACAGCTCCAGCAGCTCCTGCCGCTTCCCTTGAGGGACGTATTTGGAAAAGAGCAAATCCAGCACGGAAACATTTTGCCCCTGGAACTCACCAGCAGTGACATAGACGGTTGCAGACTTTAAGGACTTTTTCAGCTGCTGCTCCTGGGAGTGCATATCCTGAACCGGTCGTGATGCTCCCACTTCATTGTTGGGTACAACTGCGGACGAGCTCAGATCCCCGTTTTCCATTTCTGCCCCGGTGATGATGGTGGTGAGGATGGTGATCATCTCCGGGATGGTGACCATCCCCGCCTTGTATTTCCTCAGTAGTTCCTCTCTCTGGTGGTCAGAGATGCAGCGGGAGAAGAGGAGTTCCCAGAGGGTTACGCTCTGGCCCTGGAAGAGCCCCACGCTGACGGTGGTGCGGGCAGCCTGCAGGGCTTTGCGGGCATCCTTGTTGAGCTGGTAGAGCACGGAGCCCTTGTCCATCACCTGCAGCATCAGCAGCCCTGTGTCCGGGTCGGGGACACAGCGGCGGAGGAGCTGTGTATAAGTGAGGTTTTCGTGCGTGTTGGGGTCGAAGCAAGTTCTTGTTTGGTTCTTGGGGTTGGAAAGAAACTGGCACATCTCCTGGTCAAAGTAGCCGCGCTGGTAGGCCACCTCCACAGGGAGGCGGTGG